AAAATTAATAATTTGAAAAATAACATAAAATAACCATTTCCTTCCTTCCTGGTGGTGGATAAACAATTCAATCATTTAGGTCAAATGGGTAACCAATGGTATACCATAATTAAATAATAAAAATTTAAAAATATATAGATATCATAAAATATAACAATACAGAAAATAAAAAAGATTGGGTATATCTCTAATATGATATATTCATCATTCTAAATGAAAATAAGTTTGATATGTAAAAGCTATTTATATTAATGATAGAAACAGAGTACATAATATGAAATCAACCTAAAATTGAAATGATGTCATACTAAAATAATAAAAGAATCACAAAAATACAGAAAAATAAAAGTTATAAAAAATTTTGAGCACATGTCTAATATTATATATTTATAAAAATAAAAAAGTCAGCTATGTCTCTAATTATATTCATTATGTTAAACAAAAACAAATATTATACATAAGAAGTAATTTTATTAAAGAGGGAAATGGAATACAAAATTTAAAATCAATCTTGAAATAAAACAATTTTCCTCTTTAGGTGATGAATTAGTGATTTGGGTCAAATACATCAATATACAAAGAATTACAAAAATATATAAAATTGTAGAAAATTTGTACTTATCTCTAATATTATATATTAAATATATAAAAAAAATTAAATGTGATAAGCAAGAATTGTTTTTATTAATGATGTAAGTGAAATATATAATTTAAAACTAACTAAAAATAGTATTTTCATTTAGGTGGTGGGTGATCAATTTAGTAAAATTAAACGGGTGAAGCTATAATGTCATAATTCAAGTAATAAAATTTTAAAAATAAATAGAAAGACAAATGGTTACAAAAAATTGAAAATTTGTAGAAAATATGGGTACATTTCTATTAAAGTATAATTTTCATATTAAAAATAAGTGTAATAAGTAATAATTATTTTATCAATAAAATAAATAGAATAAAAAATTAGGAGCAGTGAGAACTAATGTCTAACCGATAAACCCATTTTTTATTTTGAAAAAAACATTGGCAAGATTTTATTCAACTTAGCAAAATTGTCAAATACAACAATACATACAAAAATTCATGCACCTGAGGCCCATAAACCCATTGGCCAAGTTAAATGATTCAATAGTTTAATTTGCTACATCAATAACATAGTGCTTAAGTTAGTGTATTTTTGTAGGCAAATAGCTTGGTAGTAAATGGACCAAGATTTTTGTTTAGGTGACAAATTGACCAATCTAACTAATTGATTGAAGAATAGGATAAAAAACACTAATTGAAAACAAATGTTCTTAAAATCAATTTGAATTGTATTTTAATCTAATAAGTCAACTTGATATTCATAAATTAAATAATAACAATAAAAATATAACAAATTTTGTAAAACTTATAAAAGAATTAAGCATATATTTAATATTATATGTTTATCATATTAAACAAAAATGTATGAAAAATGAGATCTATTGTTATTATAGATGAAAATGGCTAAAAATATATAAAAGAAAGAAAGAATTAATGTCTTGTCCATGTTCTATTGACTTGGTCAAATAGGTCAGTAGTTCAACCCATATGGCCATTTGGTTGTCAACAAAGGCAATGGGTTTTTTTGAAATGGTTGGATTTAAACAAATTGTTGATTAAATTTATATGGGTGATAGGTCAATTGATTTAACTATTTGTTTCAACCACAAGTGAAAAACAATGATATAAAATACAAATAATTAGAAGATTTAAAGCAAAGTCTTTAAATTGAAAGACAACAAATCCACAAGTACACCATGCTTCGATCACTTATATTTATTGCCATAGGATCTACTATAAACACAAGTGTGCAAAGCTACATGCCAATTAGGCAATTACAAGTCAACATGTCGGTATTTTGTACACATGGACCCACATCTCACATGGGTTCCATGCATAAAGAACATTGGTATTCACTCATGCTTTGCTACATGACTAAGTTTGCACACTTATATTCACACCAAATATGAACTTTTCTTTGTTACACAGGTCTTAATAAGAATATTCAAACTATCAACATCATCACTTTTAATTTATCCAATTTCCTTTCATTAAGACTTGTGATTAAGTTATTAATTCATATTTTTCATTAAATCCCATATTTAAGGTATTTTTATTTCTCACAATTGAATTCCACTAATTTTGTCTAAAGCATTTTCTAATTAAATCTATATTACTATATACCACATAATTTTAATAGTATAAAAACTATATGTTTTTAAATCCAACCAAAAAATGAAACCATTCTTCCATTTAGGGCAATAGGTTGATGATTCAACCATCTCATACAAATCAAAATTAAGTCAATCCAAGATTTCATAATTAAATAGAAATATAAAAAGTAAATATAATACAAAAAAAGTAAGAAATGAATTTTTTGTAAAAATAAAACAGTGTAATATTATATATTCATCATATTTAACAAAGAATAAGCATATAATGAATAAGAAGTATATTTTTTTAATGATGGAAATGATGAAATTTAAAATTGACTAGGCAATAAAAATTGTTTTCCTGTTTAAGAGGTATGTCAATGGTTAAACTATCTCGATCAAATGGGACAATCAATCCATGATGCCATAATAAAATAATAATATTTTTTAAAATAAATATAAACTTAAAAGCTATAAAAATTTGGACATCTCTATAATATCATATTTATTGCAATAAATAAAACTTGTTTTTATTAATAATAAAAATGGAATAAAAAATTTAAAAAATTTAAAATCGACAAAACTTGTTTAAACATCCAAGCCAAATGAGCCAACCCATGATATTATAACTAAATAATAAAATTTTAGAATATATTAAATACAAAATTTATAAAAAAAGTATATAAAATGTGGACATATCTCCATTTTTCATATTATATATTCATTATATCAAACAAAATGGGTGATGGTGATGATGATGATGATGATGATAATTGTGTTATTGTAATTTAAAATTTCTATGTATCTCCATTCCCTGTTGCAACAAGGATGGGATCGAGATTTCTAGCCCTATTGGGGTACAGGGCAGGATGTTTGTATTCGGGGTGGGGCATGAGGTATGCCAAACCTGGCCCTGTCCTATTCTATTGCCATTCCTATTTTATTCATTTTCCTTATATTTATTAAATATATTTTAATAATTATGGTTGAAATCCATAGCTTTCCATCACTTCTTGCATGGATACAACTTGGGTAGGCTTGGGATGGAAATTTTCTAAAATTTGGATGGGCCAATCCCAAAAGCCCACGCCTGATACATTGTAAATTCTTTGAATATAGTATATAAGGCTTAGTTTCGAAAGAGTACAAATATAAATATGTACAATACAAATACATACAAAAGAATACAAAATAAAAGGTTTTACACTCTACATATTTGTATTTATACAATACAAATACATACTAAATAGTACAAAATATAAAGTTCTGCACTCTACGCATTTGTATTTGTACTCCTTCCAAATGGAGCCTAACTTGCATCCCTATATTCTTAAGGCTATGTTTGTTTAAGGTGTAAATTTAATTTTACACCAATATAAAATATGAACCAGTTCAATTATGGATGAAAATTGACACCGGTTATTTTTGAATATTTACACCAATCATGTTTGATTGTTAAGGCGTAAATTTTGATGATTTTTTTTTTCAGAATTTGGAATGCGCATCGGTGTAAATATAGCTTATAGCCTGCTACAACCTATAGCCTGTAACCTGCTACAACCTGTAGCTTGTAGCAAACACATCATTGCTCACCGGCTCTTTCATCCATGCTTCTCTTCACAGTTCGCTCTAATACAGCACCAAATACCAAATGAGAGAGAGAGAGAGAAGTGGAATGAAGAAACACCGGAGAAAATGGCAGAGCCGTACGGGATGAGACAGGAGGGTGGGAAGGCTGTCGGGGCGGAGGCATCTAAGAGGCTGTTCGGGCAGCAAGGAGGAGGCGGGACTCACCCACGGTGGGCTTTACCCTTCTCTCTAATGACCATGGCTACCGGGGGATTTATTTTAGTGGTTGTCGTCACTTAGTTCGCCTTGCATGCTAAAAAGAAGCCTAAAGCTTTTGCCGTCGGTGTAGCCAATGTCGCAGCTGGGAAGGCCGACCTTGCCACCACCCAAGTGAGAGAGAGGTCTGAAAATGGTACCGATGAGAGAGAAATCATGAGCATGATGGAGGTTGAGACGAAGCAGACAAAGAAATATTAGAGTGAGAAGAATTTTACTTCTATAAGTTTTATAGGTGTAAAAACATTTTCGAATGGAGTTTTACACCAAATTATGGTGTAAAATCGAACCGGGGTGTAAATTTACCCCGATTCAATTTTGCACCTCAAACAAACACGGCCTAATGATTGCAATTGCATTTTCTTTCTTTCTTTCTTGGTAAGAAATTGCAATTACATTGGGTCCACAACAAAAATATTTTACCTCCTAACTTGCACCCCTACTACCACTACTCTCCCTTTAACTTGTTATTGAGGTTATTTTATGCATAAAAAATTGTTTTTATGAACGTTTTTCCTTAACCAAGGATCTGTTTCGATATGCTTTTTAATTTTGAGGTTTGGACTGTGAAAATTAAAATTGAGCTTAAAAATGCCCTTAGCATTCGGTAAGAGTTGCTTTAAAGCACAACCTAATTTAAAAATATACATGTTTCAAAAAAAAAAAAGTACACAATATATCATTGATTTTTTTTTGAATAAGCTTCAAGTTATATTCTAATAATTTTTCTTTTAAAAATTCATCCCCTTTGTTTGTAGTCCTCTAATTGAAACCTAGCTATTAAAAAATGGTATTGTAAGAAATTAAATTTTTGGTAAAAGTTATTTGTTCAAGAAATCATGTTAAAAATGCATTAAAAAGCTTATTTCTTCCTTTATTTTTTAGAGGATCAACCATAGAAAAGGCAATTTGTTAATGTGTGATGAAATAAGGGCAATCATGTAATAGAAAGATTATTTAAAGTGAAACGGCGTTATGTCTGTCCTTTCCCGATAAGCCCGGTGATTGCTCGGATGGTGAACGCTTAGGGCATTGAAGCTCGAGCTCCTGCCCAGATTTCGGATAAAAACCGCCTTTTTTTTGTTCGATTTTTCAGACAGGAACCCTAAACGCAAACACACACACTCTTTCTCTCTTCAAAGACGAAGGCGATTCTTGTGACCTCAAAATCCATGGAAATTCAGCTCGAAATCCTACAATTTCTGTCAAAATTTAAGCTCCGTTAATGGCGTATGCACAGATGCCCCGAGCAAAGTTGCAGGGCTTTGTAGCGAAGCTTGCGATAGAGAGGTAAGAGCTCGCCGTACGCTTTCAGGGAGAAGGAAGAGCTGAACAGGAAGGAGGACTTTGGGCTTCGGAATTCGAAGCTCGAAAACCGGAGCAGGAAACAACGCCACAGGAAATCCGGTTTCGCGAGAAGAGATACTTCCGAGGAGGTCTTCTCGTCGTTCCAAGCCGCTTTAATCGGTCTTCGATTGACATCTGAGGTGAAATTTTGCTAATAGATTCAGTATTATAAATCACATTAATCGATTCCTTCGTCATTTTATATCTCCGATTCTTCAATGCCTTGGTATCGAATTCAACTTTCATGGACGATGTTGAGAGCTGCATATGTTTGAGGTTTTCTGTGACAAATCGTCTATTTTCTTTATTTTGTGACTCAGGAAACAATCTGCTGAGTTTGAAGCACAGTGGTAAGAACTAAAACCGTAGATCCACAAGGTCTAAAGCGTTGTTTTACTGACCATATTCTGGCCGGATCTTCGAATTCTAGTTTTAAGATTCCGATTGAGGAGAAACAACCTCAAAATTTACGTTGGAGCAGTTCAATTCCGCCATTTTTATCATCGCAAGCTTGAAATCTGAAGCATAAGCTCAGATCGGAGCCTGAATTGTAGAAGTGGAAACAAGGTGATATTTTTCTTCTATCATTTGTTTTTCTTGTTTAATTTGAAGCTGTTCAGTACCTCCAGACTTATTACTGTTTTCTGGCATCTGCCATTTTTTTCTGGCAGGAAGCTTTAGTACGAAACGAAAAAGTCTCAGATCGGTCTAAAATCTAAATTGTAAATAAAAAGGGACGAGTGTGTAATTCCGCCTTATGATTGTCGTTTCCGCCCGTTTTTCCTTATTTTTTTCCGCGAAGAAGCTTAAATCTGAGGCAGAAAAGATCAGGAGTTGAAATCTGAGGAATTTTAGGTGAGGTAAGCTTTTCTCTTTTTTATCTTTTCTTTTCTTTTTTTTTTTTCTTTTTATCCTCGTCGCTTTTTAAACTTTTGTACACCATCTTTAAAGGTAGAATAGGATTAGAGATCCTTGGTTTAGACTCTAAACAGTGGGGATCTCAATGCTCAAACGGCTCTTAAATCCTAATAACTCTTAAGTGACTGTACGACATCTAAAGCATCTGATGCCCTTCGCAGGCGACTGAGCGGCTTCTGCTAATAAGCGAAGAGTGAAAAGCACCCACCTTGCACAGGCACAGCTCATCTATTTAGACTCTTGCTTTTGTAAGGACTGCAAAAAGCTAGAGGGAGCTGCTGACACTTCCGGCCCTCGAGCGCGATATATCGAGCGTGGAAAACGGCTCTTTATCACAGAACCAAGTACTGAGACTCGTCATCAATGCAGAAGGACAGCGTCCACCTGCACTCAAAACCCTAATTCAGTTTCTTAGACTTTGCAAGAAGAGTCCCTCACTTCTCTCTCTATCCCTTTCTCTGTTGTCGGGTTCCGAATAAGAAGCAGAGAAGAGACATAAGAGAAAAAAAAAGAAAGAAGGAGAAGAACCAAAAGGGTCTAGTTCCAGTTTTTTCTCGAGAAAGGCATGAACGTGGTATGGAGGTGGACGACATTCAACCGTGTAAGCTTTCCAGGATTGGCAACGGTCGAAACGATACAACCAAGATAGGGCAGAAAGCAGGAGAGCAGTACCAAGATGAGGACGACGACGATGGAGAAGGTAGAGGAGGTGGGTGTGGTAGTGGTGGAGGTGGAAATGATAGTGGTCGCCTTCGCCAGTGGCCTGCGTCGAGGATTTTCAGGGTTTCTCGAGCATCTGGCGGGAAGGATCGTCACAGCAAGGTCTTAACGGCGAAAGGGCTCAGAGACCGTAGGGTTCGTCTTTCGGTCTCCACTGCTATCCAGTTCTACGACCTTCAGGACCGCCTGGGTTATGATCAGCCAAGTAAAGCTGTAGAGTGGCTGATTAAAGCTGCTGCAGACGCCATTGCCGAGCTTCCTTCTCTTAACAGTACCTTTCCCGATACACCCAAACAACCAAGCGACGAAAAGAGGCCCAACGCGTCCGAACCCAGATTTAACCCTGCCGAGGTGGAATTAGAAACCGACCCTTCTTATCAGCAACAACAGCAGCAGCAGCATATTTCTTTGACGAAATCTGCCTGCAGCAGCACCTCCGAGACCAGCAAGGGCTCCGTTTTATCTCTTTCCCGGTCTGAATCCCGAGTTAAAGCCAGAGAGAGGGCTAGGGAGAGAGCTGCGAAGGAGAAGGAGAGGGAGAAAGAGAAAGAGGATACTCATGCTGCTCATCAGCAGGATGTGAACCATAATTCCCAGAGCACTTCTTTCACGGAACTCCTCGCTGCTGCTGCTGCTGCTAATGACAATGGCACCAGCCCCACTACATCAGCTCAGCAAAACCTTGGTTTATCCAACTTCGTCCTGAAGCCACGACACGTGCCTTCTAGTCCCATGGATTACTTTGGCGCAGGGCTTTTTGGGCCGGCATCGTCCAGAGCACATAATTCATCTGGGTTTTCCGGTCAAACCCACTTTGGGAACCCTCAGCAGCATTCAATGGCAATGCAATCGCCTTTCAGTGTGACAGGCGATCATCCTCCGGAGCTGCAGCAGTTTTCGTTTTTGTCCGATCATCTAATCCCGGCCGCTGCTGCGGCTGGGAATGATTATAATCTTAATTTCACAATCTCTTCCGGCCTTGCTGGTTTGAATAGGGGGACCCTTCAGTCCAATTCACCATCTCCGTTGGCTCACCTTCAGAGGTTTTCTTCTCCTGTTGACGGATCAAATGTGCCATTCTTCATTGGAACTGCAGCTCCAGGGGCTGCGTCTGTGGAGAATCATCAATTCCCAGCTGGGTTTGATGCTCGCTTGCAACTCTACTATGGCGATGGGTGCAGGCATTCAGACCTGAAGGGTAAAGGGAAGAACTAATAATCTGGAAGAGCAGATCACACTCGGCCCGTCATCTTCGTTGCTGGTAAGAGTCAAACTCATTTTTTCTTCTAACTAATCTGTTTTTTCATTCTCTTTTGCTTTTCTCCTGTTTTTCTTACTCGTCCTCCGTCATTGATGATATATGTTTTTAGTTTAATCAAGAAAATTATGACTGCGTTCACTATCTTGGTGACTGTTTCGTTTAATCGTTTCTGGTTTCTTTCTTCACATGAATTGTTAGTTGGAAGGCTTTTTGGCTTTATGCCAGTTCTACCATTTGGCTAAACTTTTTTGAGACCATCAAATTCAAACCTGGCAATTGTTATTTGTTAGTCGTTTTCTTTTGATTGCAGATTTGCAATCTGCTGGATTATCATGGTGATTCCCTCGTCGATTCATGCGATCGTTGGTCGGGATCGTCTAGATGTCTGCTTTTGAGCCTTTTGCATGATCTTTTCCAGTTTTTCTATGGCCAGTCCAGGTGTCGAGCAATTTGATGAAATTAACACCTTCTCCCAGCACTGTTCATTAATGAATTTTGAATCCCTATTTGCCCGTCTAGACTCTAGAGTCCGACTTAAAACTACACATAATACCATAAATGTCCGTTGCGCTGCCAGTTGCCATTATACGAGGCAGATGTTCAGCCTATTGTCGGACGTGTCAAATCCATCTTCATTTATCGACCGTGAATCAAGTACATGTTCCCTCGTCAAGTCCAGCACTGTTCTTTAGGTAAACCTTCATAGGTCTTAGCGTTTCAATAATCAATAGTTTCTTCCCTGATCTTTAAGGCTGCTATTTCCCTATTGTCAGAAGTACTTGAACACTTTCATTACTGTTGATTGAAAAACATATCATTGTATTGATTTAACGGCTAACAGCATCAAAATGAATGTGAAATGATATTGACCTGGGGATTCTCCAGCTGCTTGTCTACATAAAGCACTTCAAATTTGCAAGTTACTAATCAATTAATGGTATCAATTACCGCCAAATTAAATACCTAAAAAAATAAAAAACTAAATTTAAGTTTTGCAACTTTATATTAATTGGATTATCTAGATAAATATGAATAGCAAGCAGATTACAAATATCTAAAAAAAGAATATCAAGCAGATAAAAAATGTCTGCATTTTATGTCAGGTGATAAAATACATTAAATATATGGGTTTCATGGGGCTACACAGTATAGGTAGCCCGTCCCGGCGTCTTCCATACCTAGGGGCTAGGGGTGATCATGGGCTAATTTCGGGTATATAAATTTTTTAAATTTATTAAATATAATATTTTATATCATATACATATAATGCATGTATAAAATTTATATATATGATGGATGCCATATTCTAATATATTTATCTATATGATATAAAATATAACATAAAATAACATATGAACATGAGATGTTATATTTGGAATACAAAACGTAAGGGGATCCTTATCCATACCCATAACTCACCCACCCCATGTGTATTATTAGAACATCCTTCCCTTAATGTTGTAAACTTTTTATTTATTTATTTCAGAGGAAGACAGTGGGATAGTGTATTTGGAACCACTAGGGTCTCATGATTATTTGTTAATAAATATGTATTTTGTGGGTTGACAAATGATAGGGAGTGTTAGATTGTAAGATATAGAAAATTTGTGGAGAGATTTATCGGTCTCTAAGTTGAAAGGCAAGAATTCCATCACTACATCATATTTCACTTTGTTGTTATGATTGTATGATCTCCGAATTTTTACTTATAGATATTTTCATTCCTTAGATCAAGTCTATCAAGAAAATTTGCAAAGAAATATTTGATTGCTTATATTTATGAATCTTAACAAGAATTATAGTAGTATCATAATAATTAAATAGACATTTTTTAATTTATGTAGCCGACCTGACATGGTTGGGATAAGGCTTTGGATGATAATGATAATAATGGTATTTTTAGTTCTATCATTTTTCAGCATTTCCCAAGTTTGTTCTAATAGTCCATATTTTATATAAACTATAGGATTATGTATTTCTTATGTATATATATATATATATATATATATATATATATATATATATATA